GAACCACGATCTGCTTGTATCAACGCAATTCAACAAATAAGGAAGATAACTTCGGAACAAGAAACTCATGACTTGATAAACTCTAGAAACTTCCAAACATCCTTAGACAAGAAAATTGACGACATACGAATAAAACTTGCTGACTTTTCATTAAATGTTCACTCCTCAAACCCACTAAATCAAATTGAAGAGAATCTAAAGACCATCAACGCAAGACTCGAAAAATTAGAAAATACCACCTCTATCAATGTTGATGTTCCACGAGTAATAATACCACCAAAACCAATAATAGTAAAACCACAAGAAGACTGCTCCACAACTGATATTGTGGAAAGGCTGATTCAGGAAGAACCTAAACTGCCCGTGAAAAAAGTCTATAGAAACAGCAAGATGCTAGAACTAAAGTTTCATAACAATCAACATAAAGAAACGGTCCTCTCAACCTTACAAAAGACAGGAATCCAATATCACGACAAAGATGTAAAGTTGTTCTCTCTAATTCTTCTTAACACACCTGTCACATTCACAGAAACTGAGATTATTGACTTGATAAAAATCAATGGCAATTTCGACCCTGCCTATGACATCATCAAACTGACCAAAGAAATCCTACATAAAAGAGATAATTCTAAGAGACACATCATCATAAGAGTCAACAGAAAACTCTCCATCAAGCTTTTGAATCTTAATTATTTCTACGCTGGTCTACAACGTTGCACAATTAAAAAAAGACTGGTTTTATTAAGGTGCAGAAAATGCCAGACAATAGGTCATCACCAAAACACATGTACTGAGTCATACTGTTGTTGTGAGAAGTGCAGATACAAGGGTCATAGTATCAAAAATTGCACAGAAAAAGAAGAATTCTGCATAAACTGTCACTCATCCAACCAAGACTCCAATTTAAATCTGGACTGTAATCACAGAGCCTCCTCACCTTCCTGCCCAACTTACTTGCACGAACTAAAAAATTTACGTCAATCCAATCAAGTCTATAAGCATCCCTACTAAAAAGACATATATATATATTTACTTATTAAGATTTCTCTATATCTAGTAATACTTTCATCTCTATTAGTTTTTTTTAACGCTATATTTTTTTTCTCTTTCTTTCTTATTAATTTATTTTATTCATTTCTTTTTAATAATTTCCCCTTTCACATGTATATATATATATATTTTTTTGTCTTATTTCCTCTTAAATTCCACACTTTCAGTAAAAAAAAAAAAAATTCTTTTTTTTAAATATCATGTTATATAGGTTGGAGTGGAGCTGGATTAATGGCCAAGTCCTCGGCTATATGGTTAAGGGTTTTTTTTATAACCCAGGTACATGCCCAGGGCTTGGAGGAAAGAAAAAAAAAAAAAAGTCCCCTTTCCGTTAGGATGGGAGGTTCTCGTCGTGATCTTTCTCTCCATGTAACGCAAATGCGGATTAGTTTCACCAAAAATTCCTCCGCGAAGGCAAATTTCTCCCTATACTTGATTCAGGAGTTCCCTTGTCTTCTGGATTGGGCTCAAAATTACAAGGCTACGGAGTGTAACATTAGTAGTCGTAAGCCCAAAAATTGGGTCGGTTGTTCAACGACGGTTATAAAATAAAATAAAACAAAATACTCAGAACAGAATTATCTCATTACCTGCAAGAAAATAGTAGTGTTATTCTCCAAAGCCACTCCCCCGCAGAATGTGAAAATGAGGCTTGTTATTGTATTGATCGAAGCTTTTCAAATTTTTTTTAGAACTTTTAAGCTTTTCACCTGAAAAACGATATCGGATAAGGTGAAAAAATTTAATATTCATAAAAGTCTAAGTTGCATCGTTGTTTGAAATTAATATTGTTAGATATATATGGGTAAACATATAAGGTTTAATGCTCAAGTTTTTGTGTATGAAAGAAGTAATTTTATTTTTTTATTAAAAGAATAAATATAAAATTAATTATAATTTTCAAGTAGAAATATTAATTAATTGTAAAAAAGATAATGTAACTTAACTGTTAGTTCTGGAAAATTTATATAAAAATCTTAGTTTTCCTTAAAAAATGAGTGCATTTTTAATTTTCAACCCGATTCTCGAGTTCGATTCTCGCATGCACTGTAAATTACGGAAAAAAGTACCAGCACTCAGGATGTTGGTATCTTTTACTGCAAAATTCCTCTGATATACCGTAATTTTTACAGTAATGATTTCAATAAAATCACTGAATCACTTTAATTAAATTAATAGTTTCGTAAAAATTACGGTATAATATTTTACGGTGAAAATGGATTTTACGGTATAATATTTTACGGTGAAAATGGATTTTACTGTATAATATTTTACAGTAAAATTTTTTTTTATGGCAAAACTGATTTTGCGAATGATGCACCTAAAGTAATTTGATCAGGAATTTTTTACAGTGTATATTCCAGAAAACCTAAAAATTGCATTCGTGTATAATCATTTCTTCCGTTACTTTATATTCAATTTTAGATACGATTTAGTATGTATTTATCTCCGGTGTTCCTTTGAGATTTTTACTTGTATATCTTGTACAGTTTTGGTCTATTAGTTAATTTTGCCTTTTCTGCATTGAATTTGAATCCAGTTTTTCTATTTATTATAGAGTTTTGTTAGGCGAATAACACCTTGTTTTGTTAAATAGCTATTAATATGAATTCATGTCCTCTGAAGAAAACTTGTATTGAATTTATTCTTTCTTTTATTTCATTTATTTTTTATTTCAAGTAACGTATAATTCTCTATTTCTATAAATATATTCCAAATTACACATTTTTGAATATGAAGACGAAAATTTGCTTTTATTTATGCTTTCAAAAAAAATCGAAATTCAATTGTTTGACACGAAATATGAAACTTTAAACCCCAAAAGGGTAACTTTTCACCATTTTGAATTTATAAATTCTGGAAAAAGTGGTTTATAATGCACCCTAACCATTATTTTTTATAACTTAACGCTTGTTAAAGCGTAAAATATAAAATTATATATTTCCCAGAAATAATTGACACAAGGTCTTAAATTTAATATTTACATAATAGTTTACATTTTAAAATGAACACCAAAGTAAACTCAATATTCATTTGAAAAATTTATTAATTACCACTATACATTTTTTTGTAGAATTCACACAATTTCACATTTGGCTATTCTATTAAATTCAAAGAAGACAAACACATTGTACACAATCACAGACATTGACAAATAAATACCGATGCAAACCGTTTTAAAATGATTTCGATTCAAAATGCTCAGTTTCGTATAATAACATTGCTTATTGCTTTTTAATAATTATTATCTTCTGGAAGTTAATTTCGCTCAACGATATTAACTTCTAGATTGCATTTAAAAAGTTTATCGACACAAGAAAATATGCAAAATTCTAAAAAATCACTTAAAACTGATTACATCTATAAATACTAACATGATGCATGGATATTTTCTTAGCATTGTACAATAAATAAGGCAGTTTAAAGATAGAAAACAAAAACAATAGCATGAGTGAGCGCAACATTAATTAAAGAACAATTGCTGCGATTTAAGCAAGCAAGCAACTAAATTTAGAGCAGATCTAAAAGCGTTTAAAGCAAAGCAACTACTAACTACAAGCTCTAGTGGACGAAACAGTAAGAAATGCAACTATTCATAAAGCAATAAGCATTTTTAAAAGCAAAATCATGATTAATATGTACAAGTAGAAGTAATAGAATGGTAGCCCTAGTTTTAACGTGCAAAAGCTTACCAGCATTTAAATTATTTTATTTTTAAACTAAGCAGAAGCAAAACTAGCCATTTCCACATAGAAGAAAAAAAGCGATTGGCTAAGGACCCTAAACGTCACAAAATTAAAGTAACATAGACATTAAGCACAAGCAAAAGCAGCTTAACAAAATTATTGCACAGAACCACTTGCTCATTTCAAACGTATTTATGTTTTCCGATAAATATAAGAAATTTAATTAAAAACACTATATCCTAAATCTTTAAATATTACCATACTAAAAAACTGATTATGAAACATTTATTTATAAATACTGTTTTGTAAAAAAAAAAACGGAGCAAGACCCGCTTGGTCCGAGGGTAATATAAATTACAATGATGAAACAGTCCCTGCCGTCAAGGCTATGGAATGACGTCACAAAAGAAATGGAACTTGAATATCAGAAGATGGTTTTCTTGCATGATTGAAAAGCTCTTCTGTCCTACCTATACATCTCCTGAAATGAAAATCATAAAAACATTAAGACTAATTTTAAAGTTGAACTGTTATTTTAAAATTATTTGTTTTTGTTTGAGAATTTTTTTAAACTTCAAAAAATTTTGTATACAAAGAGATATTTATTGATAATTTTTCTATAACGATAATTATCGAATATGTTATTATCGTCAGTGTTATAATTTCATTTGGGAATTAAATATATCGAAATACTGTACATCGATATCTTCCGATGATAATTACCACAGTACATAAATCTTGTTTATTAAAATTTGCCGAGAATTAAAGATTATCTTCATTTCTAAAGCGATTGTTATTAGCGATTATTATTAGAAATCTACAAAGCTCTCTCGCCCTATCATCAAGGTGGTAAAATAATGGCCCGATATTTGACCCTCTAAAATTTACCTTATTTTTTCCAAACTGAAAATCTATGTATTTTCGAGTGGAGAACTAATCATAACTTGCATAAATGGTAAAATTGTGCACTTCTTAGCTTCTATAATTGCCAGTGAATTAAAATTGTATTCCATATTTCTGACTACTTTACTTAATTATTTATAATATCAAATGAAAATTAATAATTGTCTTTATGTAATGAGATGACCCGGGTTCGAAGCCCGGCGATGGCTTGTTGATACGAATTCCGCCACCAACTCGCACCGACCACAGAGGTGATGCAAAATATCCTTAGTGATAGAAGCATTCAGAGTCCCCTTGCCATCAGGCCAACCGTGGGAGGTTTTCGTGGTTTTCCTCTCGTAACGCAAATGCGAGTTAGTTTAATCTAAAAGCCCTCCACGAAGTTGAACATTTGGCAGACGTAAACTCAAAATTGGGTGGGTTGCTCAACGACGATTATAAAATAATATAAAATTGTCTTTATGTAATTCCCTTAAGGTAAAGACTGCTATGTATACTATTTTTTTTCATTACGTGAGTGATATTCTACCATGTAATTCCTTAAATTTGGTCCAGGATTTTAAAAATTTTTACTTTTTTTATTTTATTTAATTATTTCTCTTTTTTTGTGGTTAAATGATGGTGATCATTGCCTACCAGCGCTAATTATTAAACGCGATAATAACCCAACTATCTTCGATAATCAATGAATGTGATATTCATTCTTTTTCGCTAATGTTGTTAAATGTTATCTGTGTAACGAAACTCTAAACCAATATTTAAAAAAATTAAAAGCAAATGTATATATATACAGTGTTATATCAAGAAATATCGATATATCGTGATTTAAAAATTCCGGCATCGAAGTATCAATCAAATATCGAAGGAGATCATCAAGTCCGGATATGATCAGTAAAGGAAATTGAATTGAAGAATGACCTTGATATTCAGGATGCATTCCGATGAAGAACACACCGGTAGTGAGCCGGAACTCTTCACCCCGAAGGTATGAATCGAGGCTAAGGTTATTGCTTATCATTGATGTATCGAGGCCAAAATATAGGGCACATCAACTTTAATGAAGAATGACACAGGGTTCAATGATCCATTTCGAACTAATCATCTTTTAAGGATCTCACGTACCACGGATTCATAGAAGAGGCTATACTAAGGTGTCACACTTCTTGAACAACAAAATTATTTCGACTTATTTAGCAAAAATTGCCCCATTTAACCACTTAGCTGTCTGAATCGCTGCATAGTTTTGAAAAACGGAAACTACATTTAGAAAAATTGGTAAAGCATAATGTCTGTACCGTTAGATATAATAGGGTACAAATTTTCTGAACCTTAATAAGATACTGAGTAAGGTAAGGACATATAATCAAGTTCTGTCCATGTTCAACCATGTATCTCATAATTAGGGAAGATGATATGGTTTAACACGCACCAAAATTGAACAGTGTAGTTGGTCAAATTATTTTTTTAATTTTTCTTTGTTCTCACTAAATTATTTACTTAACGTCATCAGTTAAAATTTCTTTGAATCCAAAAGAATTTTTAGGTTACAGATTTTTAGGTTAGGTAGGAAGAAGGCTACAGTTCGGTTTGTTTTACTTTAGACTATTCATTTATCACCTAGAATCTTTTAAGAAACTAGATATAAAAGAAAAATACAGCATGATAGTAAAATCACTTTACCGACATATAACCTAGCAGGCATAATGGTCCAAGCGAACGGAATAAAAATTTGTGTCGAAGAATTTTAAAATATGTTCTTAATTAAGATTAAAAAAAAGATTATGCCACACTCACGATTGCGGTTACAGTATCAGTATTTTGAAATTTACAAACGGTAACAACTGTTTTTTTTATCATTGAAACGTGATATTTTCAGCGAAATAAGTTTAACTTAAATTGGGATGCGCCAGACAGAGATGAAGAGAACCATATACAGCTAACAAATCTATGTGCTTTCTTTTTCTTTACCGCCGTGGCAATAACGCACTCAGCAGAGCTGAATCACTGACAAATCAAAAATTCATACTAAAAAAAGCTTCCCGCATAACACAGCTATTTTTAATGTTAAAGTAATCATTTCAGCTCCAAAATTATTTACTATAGGGATCACAATTTAATTTTAAAAAAAAAGAGATTTCTTTTTTAAATCTGAAATTCTCTCACCAACCATTATAGCTAGATAATATTTCTAAACACTATCTATACCTAAAAATAGCTTTATACCAAATTTTATTAGTTTTTCTTAAACAATAATAGCGCTAGGAGGCCATATATTGGAAAGTGTATTTTATAATCATGCTGAAAACTCGTTTTAACAAACATACATCATAAGAATTTTAAATATACTTAACAGCCTTATATTATATTATATTTTATATGAACAATATTAATTCTAAGGAAAATTATTTTAAATACTGCAATTTACATTTTTTGGATAAAATAATTAGCTGAATTTTTAATTTAAAAAATTGGAAAAATTGATTTTTCAAATGAACTTTAGTTAAAATACTTGTATTATTATTATACAGTCGAAATTTGGCCAACTTGGAAATATTTTATGTTTTAACTTATTTCTTATGCATGAAAATACTTCGTAAACTAAAATTGCATGGAACAATTGGGAAAATTCTCTATATTTTAATTTCAATGAAAGGAATAGCAGCCTATATACTTACTAATCCTAAAAGTATGGTTTTTAGGATTTAATCAATTATGATAATTGGAGTTAAATTCAACTTGTTTTTTTATCTAACTCTTTTTATTCAATTCATTAATAGAAATGTAGTTTTGTTGCAATCCTCACTAGGATTTAAATATTAAAATTTAACAGCTGTAATTAATATTAATTCATTTTCTCACTAACTATTTAACTAAATGAAAATGACTTATCTTAAACTCTGAGCATGACATTTACAAAGTGATTAAAAATACTCGGTGATTCTAAGGACAAAAACTGACCATGTAAGTCAATTAGTGCACATGTTGTGCACATTCTTACACAACAGCATATTCAGCGATACTTATGTAGGTAAACTCTATAGCTGAATGATACATCGATGTAGCATGAAATATCAATATTTTTAAACATCTAGATAACGAAGTTTTAAAAAGTATCTATGATATATCGGGAATGCATTTCGATCGAAATCAAACGTATAATTATTAACTATAATGATATTATTGTGATCATTATCAACAACGGAGATATTAAATAATATAATGTAGCTAGTATCAGCGATAATGATACTTTTTGAATAAGATATAACTTTCAATGTTTATAAATTCTATTTAGGTTACAATAATATTGGCTAATGCAAAAATTAATATAAATTAGTTAAATTGGAAGAAAAAAAGTAAAATGTCGATATTTCTATATAATATATAAAAAATTCCGTTATTATCTAGCACTAGAGAGACCCATAATATTATTAAGTCTTAGTAATCAATTAATTGCTCAAACAGTTTAATATTTCCCTGGATTTTGAATCCTTGATAGATAGATAGGGTCATTTGACAAATAGACTGGATAATTTACCGATAGAAAGAATAATTTATAGATTTTAAATAGTTTTTGTCATGGACGGATAAATTGGATTATTATCAGATAGAATGGATTATTGTCAAAACATTGATAAATTTCATTATTGATGTCGAGAAAAACATTTACAAACAAATAAGAAGCCTGCTCCAGAAGATAATTAAGTCGTAAAATATTTAATTCATTAAAATATAATTTATTATACTTCCTTCAAGTACAAAAAACTAATTTAATCATACAGAAAATCAACCAAACAAAATTAAATACTAATTAGCAAAAAGTGATAAATAAATGTTTATATTTAATTATGAGAGTCATTGATTAATCCCATTTTTCGGAGAATGATGATCCCAACTGTTACTAAATTATCTCATCTATCAGTGAATTATGATCCCAACTGTTACTAAATTATCTCATCTATCAGTGAATTATGATCCCATTAATTACTAAATTATCTCATCTATCAGTGAATGATGTTCCAAACTATCACTAAATTATCTCATCTATCAGTGAATGATGATCCCAACTATCACTAATTATCTCATCTATCAGTGGATCATGATCCCAACTATCACTAAATGATCCCATTTATCTGTAAATGATGATCCCAACTATCACTAAATGTGCCCATCTATCGGTAATGATCCAGTCTATTTGTCGAGTGAGTCGAGATTGTCGAGATCGTTGAGTGATCCAAAATTCGGGGAAATAAGTGACATTCATATTTAATTATTTACCTGATAAGATTGTGGCTTAGTACTTCTTTTCTACATTGTCTAAAGCTTTGATAAATTTTTCTAGAATGTCAGTAACGCCTTCTAGGAATGCAGGGCTTACACTGGGCAGCCCTCTCTTTTGACTTTCACGGAAGAAGGCACCGCCCAACACAGGCAATAGCATCGCACCCAGGCCTACAACCATCAAAAGTGGCAAAGCTGTGGACAACATGGAGGAACCAGAAAGACCACCTAATCCACTAAGGAGGCTGCTAAGTCCTCCACCACCTCCTAAAATGTAAAAATAATTAATAAAATATTGTTAACTACATTTAGTTTTATTTATCATAACTTTATCTAAAGTGATTATAATTTATTTTACTGCTTATCATTTGTTTTATTGTTAAACCTCCCCCGTGTCCCTTTAAATGTCTTTATAACTACAGCTCGAATTAGATATTTTCACAAGGAATTATTTAAAACTCCCTCCAGTGAAAATTAAGTATCTCTACTTCTCTGCCATGTAGGGAGTGGTAGGAAGAAGGAAAAAATATATTATAGCATTTGATGAGATACGTTAAGGTCGTATGTTTTTTGTCTTAAGTGTTAGGGGCAGACAGGTGTATAGAAACTTATTTGCAGTCATAGATTTTAAATTTTTGTATTCAATAAACATAATTATTAACTATATATTTTATGTTCTGCATAAACTTGTGCATTCAAGCAAAAAATAAACTAAACCGAAATTACCGGGTAGCTTTCCAAACTAAACTAATTTCAAATTTGATATCACCAATTGAGTAACATCAAGAACTTTTATAAAAGAAGCAAAAAATATAGCTCCCAGTGTGGCTGCACTTTCAAAAAGTGCGTTGTGAAGGGTTAACTAACAATGTTTATGATCATACAAATATTCTATAAATATACAGTTTTTATGTGGTGAAAGGAGAAAAAAAAGCAAATTTAAATTTGTTGAATTAGAAACGCGGCTTACTTAAAAGAAATTCCACGTTACTTTAAAGAAATATTGACGCAATAAATTTAACTCGCTATTCACTATTAAATTGCGTGAATGCAATCATTAATTTCTTAAAACAAAATAAATGCAACGTCAAATGAAAACACCATTTGTCTAGAAAATTTCTCTTACATGTTAACTTCAATTTCAAATCTGACTTCAGTACTTAAACAATAATTTAATAACCAAATATTTGGTTTATAAAAATCATTTAAGTACCATATAAATTTTGCCATATAAAAATAAATAAAAATATCTATAAAGTTTAAGGAGATGGATGTAAATGGGATGCAAGGGTACTATACGAATGAGTATTAAAATTTATGGATTTAAATTATTTTTAGCAACGTTTTATTGGAAATTAAAATTTTCCTTATATTCAAGGAAAATCCGTTGTATTTTTAGTCAAGTTTCCTCAAAAGGTGATGGTAATGAGTATTTAAAACAGGTGTCTTAGTAAAAATCTTTTAAATTAAGTAAAATACATTTCAATTTTGGAAAATCTACGCAAATATGTGTTATACATTACAATCCAATTCAAAAAAGAATTAAATTAAACGTTTTCTCATAATTTTTTAACAATTGAAAAAAAATTTTAACACTAGTTACAAAAATGAAATTTAAAAATCAATTAATGCTAATAGTAATATAATTATTTTAACTTATTCATTGAACATTTTAATAAAAACAGTGTAATGTACCAGTTAATGTACAATCGTACTTTTAAGTATTTAAATAAAATATGTCTAATAGTGAGATAAATTCATGATAATTATCTGTTACCGAATAAAATAACTATAAGTATATAGATAGTAAGATATAGATTTTATAGATAATTTTATAGATACTTATATACAGATTTTTTTGATTCCTTATAAAATCATAGAAGCTTTATTAGATTTAAAATCCCTTAAAAAGTCACAGACTTAAAATTTTTATTTCAAATAAACATTATATTTTTGGTTAGTTTTTAAGTAAAATTAACAAAGAAATAAAGCAAAGTTAAAGAAATTGTAAGTTATATAAATTTTTTCAATAAATGCTTCTTAAATATCGATAGTTTATTCAATAGTTATTGTTTTAAAGATTAATTAATTACTGAATCATTTTATGCTAAGTTATTGAATAAAAACTGTAAAAAATATATTAATTTATATATATATATTAAAAATATATTAATTATATTGATTAAGTTTAATCACAAAAAATGATACACAAATTTTTAAAAAATCAGTTACATGGTCAAAATTTAATTTAAAAAAATATTAAAGATTAATAAAGTTATCTAAAATTATTGGCATTATATAACGTATTGTACGTTTGTTTGTAACCCACATAAAAATTTATCGAACAGAATATGAACAATAATTCATAAAAAAAATCTAATAAAAAAGATTGTCAATTTCAGTATCGAAAAAAATCATTGTAAAAGAATAGAACTCACCAAGTCCACCTCCGAAACCCCCAAGACCACTCAATGCTCCTCCTAGACCTGATTGTCTAGTGACAGGACTAGGAATGAGGTATGCTGGAGAATGATGTTGTTGTTGCTGCTGACCATGCTGTTGAGAGGATGTGTGTTGGCCTAACACAACAGTGCAGAAAGCGAATAAACCAGCAATCAAAAAGTTAGAAATACGTCCCATGTTTTTTTTTTTATTAAAATCTGAAACAAAACATTGTTTTACAAATGAAAGTACTTCTAAAATAAAATATTCTTAACATTCCTAACCATAAAGAAATTATTCAATGTTCAAAATTTGAAGATTTATCTTTACTTGATTGTAGCAAATTTTTTTTAAAAATTATTATGTATTTTTTGGATTGATTGTACAAGATTTATATAACACGCTGTTATACAATTGTTTATGGAAACAAATCTTAATTAAAAATGTAAAAGTTGAAAAAAATCTAGAATTTTAAATAAATCTATTAAATCTCTATGTAATCTCTTACGTTATCTCTATGATAGTCTTCTTTAAGTTTCCGTATGTTATTGCGAACTAATATTTAAATTACCTTGGATATGCATTACAAAAAAGTATTTAAAAAGTCTTGCGGCTAATACTTTTGAATGCCAGAGTGCTTTATAAAGAAAGAAAAACTCCTATACATTTTATAAAACTTATTTATGGGTAGAAAAAATCATTTGATTAATTAGCTTTTGATAATACCTATAATAGTAATGATTATTTGATTTTTACGAAACATATTATAAGTACTTATAACTTATATTACATAAACAAAGTATATTGGACATTTAACATTAGTAAAAAGTCACATTTAACATTTCAAGAGAAAAATACGTTTAAAAATTTTGTAAACAAATGTAATTTATTGATTGGAGGATAATAAAAATACTTCCTCACATATGGAAATTATTAAACTTGATTTTAGTTTATTCCTTTCACTATAGTATTTATACCTCATAGAATGATAAAATTCAATTTTTTTCACATAATTTTAAGAAAATAACGTTCGAAAATACTTATCAATTTTTCAGATAGAAAGTATTTAATCGTAAAAGATGCATATTCTTCATTAAAAAAATCTATATCCAAATACCATAAAGCAAATAATTTTTCCATAAATCAATATTTACTCCTTTGCTAAAATACCCAAAAGAAAAAAACTTATATTCATCATAAAGTTATAGAAACCTAATTGAATTATATGATAAAAGAAATTCCGAATCCTCAAGCATTTTATCCTAAAGATCACCATACACGATGCTGTTTTCCACTATATCCATAAAGTTCCACATAATTTCTCGTGTGATAATGTTGGAAAGAACATTTTCTTCCTAAAATTACTACTCACCTGTTGGCAACAATTGATGAATTCCCTTGCTCAAGTGTTTGCGCGAGAGCTAGCGATTTTGAAATGGCTGAGGGCGTGTGTAACCGGCACTTTTATAGCGGCCTACCTACGGAATGACCTTTCTTGAGGTCAAAATGATGAGATAACTTAGATTCATGTCACCAAGATGCTAGGATGTTCACCAGTTTACGCTTTTCACAGGTAACGGAAGATATTCCCTTCCAGGCTATTGGGTTGGCGTTTGAGTTACGTCATGCATACGTCAGAAATCAAAACTATCCAAGATCTCGGATGTGTATCTCTAGGGCATGTTTACTAGTCGTCATACCTGGATGCACATCGGATTCTGTTTATATTTTTATTGGGATTTCAGTCCGTTATTAGTGCGAGTAGAATCTGAATAATTTGTCGTGACAAGAGAGAGGATCCTTAAAGTCTAGATCCGTTATCAAAATAGCTCATTATTAAGTAAGTGAGTTCTATAGACTGAGATGACTACAATTAAAAGTATATAATTGTTTTTTTTTGTATTGAAAATGGAAAACTTCATGACGCATCTGTAAATAAAAAATGCACTTAAAATTATTAAATTGTAACTCATGCTCAAATTTATTTGATTTCACAAAATTTTATACCTACAACGGATTCCATTTTTAATTTTTATGATACTCGATTTCAGTCCATTATTGTTTTGAGTAGAATCTGAACGGTTTGTCGTTTCAAAAGTTAGGATTTTTTAAGTCTATATGCGTTTATCTGCCATTAGGTTATTGATTTCAATCGAAACAATGATATAATATCGAATATGTTTCAGTAGTCAAAAAATATTAAAATGTGATATTTTGCAAGAAAATTGCATGTTCGCAAATTGTGTAACTTGCACAAAAATTTATTTCACTTCATTAAATTCAATACCAGCACTGGGAAATTTTTTTTCAAAAGTACCAGAATATGGCAAAAATTTATCGTGTTTTTGGCTCAATGAGCTCCAAAACCAAAAAACTTTTTTTCGTAGCATTTGGTAATGATTTTGACAAAGCATAAATTATGGTTTTTTAATATATCTTAATTTCTTAAATTTTATCATGGTATATTACAGTATGACTTGTTCGGTTAAATTTAATTTTCTGTTTTTTTTTAATATAATGTATATTAATAAGAAATATAATTTTGGAAAACAGACATTCCAATAAACCTCTACCATATTAACTGAAAAATTACCAAATTAATGGTTTAAATACCGTATTTTTCGGTTTTATGAACTAGAATTACGGGTATTTTTATCTGAACTGTCATAATCAAACAGTATGGTTATTTTACTAGATTTTTTTCTCCATGAGGAAAAACTGCGGATTAATCTTTTATTTTTCTTAGATTTAAATCAGCGATTAGTGCAAGATGACTCGAAAAATTTTTCGTGACCAGCGAAATGATCCCATATTTGTTTTTCAAATTTTTTCTTGCTGTCCATATTTATTTCTTGTTTTATTTCATATGTCCATATTTGTTTTTTGAAGCAATTCTTAACTAAGCGATTAATTTCTACAGACAAAGAAAACAACTTTTCGAAATATCGAACTCGTTTCTTCAGTTAAATTATAGAAAAATAAGATTTACATAAATTTAATCGATCGAACTTAAACAAAATTTCTTTTAATTTTAGAATTAGGTGTACAAATAAATTCTATTATTATTATTGTTGCAATTTTTACCTGAGCTTATTTGATTTCATTGTATTTAATACATACATGCACATCAGGTTTTATTTTTATTTTAGTTAGATTTCATTACATAATATAACCCATAATTAAGTTAGTTATTTAAATAAACAGTAAAGGCAACTATATGAAATATTGAACTTATTCCATCTGTTCGATGTTTTTTTGTTTTTGTTGTTAATTTACGTCGCACTAAAGCTGCACAATGGGCTATTGGCGACGGTCTGGGAAACATCCCGGAGGATGATCCGAAGACATCCCATCACAATTTTGATCCTCTGCGGAGGGGATGGCACCCCCGCTTCGTAGCCTGACGACCTGCGCACGAACCACCTGTTCGAATAAGTAAAATTAATTTCACACGTACTATATCTGTGAGAAATTCAAATAAATTTTCTAAATTAAAATTTGAACAAAAATTGATTTGATTTCATTAAATTTGATTCCCACATCTAGATCGAATTCTATTTTTATTTTTGTTACGATTTCAGTACAATTCAGCTGGTGAGAGTAGAATCTAAATAATTAGTTTCAACAAATAAAAATCTGCTTAAGACAACTTTCATAATTATCAAAGTAAATTATAATTGAATAAGTAATTCCTATAAAGAAAAAAGACAGCCAGTACTCAAATATTTAAAACAGTTTTATTAGTTTTTAGTTAAGAAGCCTTTTAACACAAAATCTGTTCATAAAAGTTTGTTAAACAAAAATTGATTTGAAACTTAATTTGATACTATTATGTGGAAAGAACATAAAACATTTTAAATATTTTTTTAAATTAATGATTAACAGAAAATTGCAATCTATATGTTTATATGACCTATATGTTTATGTATTGTATCTATATGTTTATTTGATAATTTATATGACACTAGGACAAGATAAACTTGCCAGTCATGAGCCTTTTGAAATAAGTCAGGAATGTGTGCCTTTCGTTTGACAAAAGAGCACCTCAAAGGGGAAAGTACTTCTTGGCTCAGAGCGCCGCAGATAAATGTAAGCACCACTCAATAGTGAGGCCATTTTCTCAATTTAGACAAGGGGAAGAAATTCTCAGCGACCTATCTCAATACTTTTTTGATATCACAGATTTTATCATGAAACAAGTTTAAAACTACGTAGCAAATATGCTCACACAAAGTAATTCTATAGTTTGAAATCAGAGCAGTTGCTTAAAGATAATTTTTGAAGAAAAAAAAAACAAAAAGAAACAGGTTGCACACACTGTAAGAAAATCCGCATCAAAATACAGTATGAAGTACCTGCACTCTATGGATGCATCATCCGTAAAATCCCTATTACCTTAAAATTAGTTTTTACCATAAAATAATACATGGTAATTGTTTCAAAAATTTTTATGTAAAAATTTTTAGTCGTGTTTATTTAATTGTAGTGATTCAGTGATTTTATTGTAATTATTATTAAAACATTAACGGTATATAAATCTGTTTTCTGCATCATATTCCGGGAAAAAAATGGATTTTACGGCGAAATTTTACGGCCAGCACCCTGAGATTCGTATTTTGTACCAAAATTTGAATTGTTTGCAATGCACTGGACTCTGGAAAATAAAATAAAAAATCTTTTAGTTAAATTGCATACCATGTACCTTTACCTTAACATGCAATAATTTTGAAAACAAAATATAGTCAAAAATTGTTTCAATGTAAAAATTATTTCTAGAAAAAAAAAGTTTTCTTAAACATTAGAATTATAAAAAAACACAGATTAAATTATTCGTTATTCTTTAGGAATTCAGCTACCTTTCTATAAGGCCCTCGGCAACAGGTTGTCAGCTGAAGAATGAGGAGTTTAGAAACTTGATTCGATTTCTTTTTTTAGCTCTTTTAACACGTTGACTGACCTTTCATATAGGGTAGAAAAACTACTAAAAAATAAATGACTAAATAAAAAAATTTATTTTTTATTATATTTTATTTATTATTATTTTTTTTGCTGAAAAGATTTCTAAATTTATATCACTTCGTTATTTGCATGTTTCAACAGAATTATATATAATTAAATATCGTTAACTATAAATCTTATTGATAATATTTATATTATCAATAAGATAATATAAATATAAATAACTGGTAACATATATATATGTATTATATTATTAACAGACATATATAATATTTACATTATTTATAATATTTGAATTATAATATTTACATTATAATATTTTTATTATAAACAAACTATTTTTATTCATTAAACATTTCCTCATCAAAAATTTTAATTTCATACTAATTTAAATACTTTGAGACAAAAATTTAGTGAGGTTTTTTTTTAAATTTAAAGTGAATTACAGAAAAGTATTTAGTTACAAGAAAGAATTGAAAAAAAGTAATTTTCAAAATATATTACTATAAATTAAAACAAAAAAAAATTCTAAATAGGGCTGCTTTTGTGTAAACTTTTAATTAAATATTTAGTTAACGTACTGTTTATGCACTAATAGATTTCTTATTGCTTCAAGTTTTGAACTTTCTTTTTACTTCTCTAAATAATAATAATAATAAATATAAATTACTGGTCAAAATTTTCAGCACCCTGCATGGTATTTTCTGCCAATTTAACTTTGACTAGAGCACTAATTTCATGTAACCAACAAATTAAGATTTCAAGTCATTTTAACGAAATCCATAATTCGACCTATATACACCAAAAATAAATTCATAATTAAACTACTTTTAGCTTGGGGACTGCCAATTCATATATATATATTAAAAGGACAGAAGAATTTCATTTCTAATTTTAAATATTTTAAAATGAGTGGTCTTTTATTGGTTAATAGGTTCTTAAGTATTTTTATGTACTATTTTATAAAAACAAGGTTTCCCCAAAAGAAGGTTTTTCAATGAGGGTTCCTCAGCAGTAAAAGATTGGGAACTGCCGCTTTACAACTGCAAGTCATCTTAAAAACAATAACTCAACTAAAACATTGTCATGCCCTTGACACATAATCCTTTTTTTTAAATATACCGCAAAGTATTTCCGTTTAAAAAAACACTTTTAGCATATAAATGTTATAAATATTTTAATTTTTTTGAAAGATATAAATTAAAAATTTGGTGAGGAAAGGCTTGAGTTTAATATCGAACATAATATGAAATGCTGTTTAAATCTTTTTAACCAGAATTTTCAAAAAGTTAGTATTAGTTTAGTAGTTTTGTTATAATTTAAAAATAATAATGGAGGAAAGAAATCTAATAAAATTGCCATACTGTAGGGAATTACAAAGAACTGCTAAAAAAATTAATGAAAATAAAACATAAATTTGGTAATAAAAACCAAAATAAACGGTATTTAAACCTTTCGTTTGTTAATAACAGTTCATATGTAGTGAGGTATTTTTATTAAAAAAGCCTTAAATGAGTTTTTTTTAAAGATAAACCATGCCTGCTATATCCGTATAAA